TTTAACTTTTGGTAAACATTTCTCATAGACCGAGATACTCGTATTTTCCCGAAGTTTACTTATCCTATATGTTGGACCACCTATCATCGTACTAAATTTCATCAGTCTTTCCAGTGCTTTCTCGTAATACGTTCCCAAACAGACAGACAAAAATTCTTAAAACTATAAACTCGGCCTCTGTATAGATAATAATGATTATTTCAATAAGATTTTCCAAAAAATATTTAATGTACAGATTCGACTCCATTCGAATTTTATTATATGCATAGAAAAGCTGTTATTTTGACATTACAAAAACAGACACTTCAATTTTATTTATCTGTATACATCTGTATAGATGATCCATACAAACATTATGACAATGACTAGGTAGTATTTAAATTTAATTCGTTATTTAACTAAAATAAAGCATGTTTAAATATATAAAAGGCAAAACCACATGTGGTTGAGTGATTCATGTGTAACTCCTTGTTACAAGTTAAACGATTGTTCATTTTTTTAGAACTAGTAATTACGTACGACTTTAGTCGCTTATTTATTTTTACTACTGTTCTAATGGTATCAATATTGAAAATTTTAGGAAAATATATATGAATAGAATTTACCTATCTATACTATATTAAAAGAGTAGAGGTCGAATGTCTGTACATAGCAAAAAAATGAAAAAAAAAACAAGTCAGGGGGACGTAAGAAGACAAATAGAACAAATCCAGTTTTTTTTTAATTTTTTTGTTTCTCTGTCTGTTTGTCTGTTTGTACGGGCTAATCTCCTAAACTACTGGACCGATTTAAATAAAATTTTGCATGGTAGTACCTTATATCCCCGGTCAACATGTAAGATACTTTTCATTCCGAAAAATTAAATGGCATGCTGATACCTTATGTTACCGGTAATGCAACAGGTTACTTTTCATCCCGGAAAAATGAACGGTTTCCGTGGGATAGATCTGTTTTTGTTTGTTTGTAACGTATTATGTACACAATATAGACCCCAAAACAATAGCTATTAAAAAATTTGTCTGTTTGTCTGCTTGCCTGTTTGTCAGTTTGTCTGTTTGTATATTTGTACGGGCTGATCTCCGAAACTGTTGGACCGACTTAAATGAAATTTTGCATGGTGGTACCTTATATTCCCGGTCAACATTTTAGATAGTTTTCATTCCAGAAAATTAAAGAGTTCCCGTGGGATAGTTAAAAAACTATAGTATCTTATACAGCTTAGTGCACAACAACTTATGCACCTAATTTAGTACAATTTAACATTCTGATACCTTATATTGCCAGTCAAACAACAGGTTACTTTTCATTCCGGAAAAATGAACGGTTCCCGTGGGAACTACTAGATCTCTATTAGTATATTAGTATTTGTCTTATATAAAAAAACTTTTTCCAATTTTTTATTGATAACACTAATGCTCGTCAATAACTACTAAACAGAAAAAAAGAAAATCGTCTGACAAACAGAGTAGAAAAAGGTAGTGAACTGTTCTCTTTGGCTATTTATTCAGTTCTAATGAATGTTACCCAACTTTATCTATTTTGTATGAAAATATCCATAAATAATAACAATATAGTCCTCCTAACCGATATCGGCCGCGGCGGCTAATCTCATTAAGACTAGCCAATCTGCATATTATGACACTAGCGACTCACCCTCGCTTCGGTCGGGTTCGTCCCTAGCTTGTTAGCTTAGTTCCCAATACAAACTTTCATCCCCATTTTCATCCCCTTAAGGGATAATTTCCGAGATAAAAAGTATCCTATGTCCTTCCCAGGATCTTATACTATCTTCTTACCAAATTTCATTTAATTCGGTTCAGTAGATCCAGAGATTACCCCTACAACGTCACAAACTCACAAACTTTACCTGTTTATAATATTAGTATAGATATAGATCTGCGCAGAATATTATAGTGCAGCGCGTATACGCGCAGACACAAGTGCACTCTCTATTCCTATCACTCTTATATTCCAGTGGGACTAGCGCTGTTTTACACTAGGGCCTAGCTAGTGACTAGCGCGGCAAATTTTCAGGGGCGGCAAAATTCGGAGGGTGAAATAAACATTATTTTAATTTTATCAAAAATTCTTTTATTATTTTCCAAAAAATATTAATAAAAAAATACTAAGTAGTAAATTTTTCGAAAAATTGAAATTTATAAATCACTTTTTTTGCATTTTTCAAAAAAATATATAATTAAAAGAAATTAAACTTTATCGAAACTTTATCCATTTCATGCAAGATTTCGATAATGGGGCGGCAATTTTTAATGCCCAGGGGCCGCATTATGTTAAATCCGGCACTGGGTGGGACGACACTCGACACGACCAGTGAGAGTTAAGACGCAAGACCGACGCGATACGTGCTCTATGATGTCGGGGGGTGAAACACCGTCAACTTCCCAACTCCCGGCTGTTACTGAGAATTGCGTGACAGAAATACTCAATAAATGAACTTGGTCCGACCCGGGACTCGAACCCAGGACCTCTGGATCATGCTAGCACACTAAACCACCGAGGCAGTTATGAACCGAGGAAATACATAAAGGAGAGACCTAAATACGCATCTTTTAATTTAATGCATTTGACCTAAAGAACTTAAGACTTAAATTCAGATTTTATTATTAGTACAATTTTATAGTCTATACATATAATAAATTTGTAACTAAGCCGAATCTGTACATTAGATAGTTTTTAGAATTTCTGTCTGTCTGTTACCGCATTACAAAAAAACCACTGGATGGATTTTGATGTTTGGTATGGTGATATAGCTGGTTATCTGGGTCAACATATAGGATACTTTTTATCGCGGGAATATGTCTCATTTCTGAGAAAAAATACAAAAACTGCAATGTAAGAGTATACTAATTGTGTAAAACCTAAGAATTTAGTTTTTACATAAAAATCATTTAAAACATTCTCGATTAAAAAACACTATTAATAAGATAATAAAAAATGTCTACCTTTTGCAGACTCCAATTAAATAAATACCACATTTTTTTATATTTAATATACAGAGAGAAATATAAGTATGTATTATAACTTGTTTTCCCGTGGGAATGAAATAATCTCCCGCAGTAAAAAGTTGCCTGTGTCACTCTCCAGCCCTCCAACTATCTCCACACAAAAAATCACATCAGTCACTCTGTTTCGATGTAAAAGACAAACAAAAACTTTCAATGTGAAAGCGTGTTTGTTTGTTATATATGTATTATAGTATGGTTTGCAAAAAAACTCTACATTTAATATAAATTGGAAGACAAATCAATAATTTCTACGATTTCTGTACGTCTGTTTGTATATGTAGTTTGTACATCACATAAAGGCCAGTAGATTAACTCAGATTATTTGGCTAAGATTTAATTTACCAGTCTAGTTATAGCTAAGTTTTATAAAATTGGTCAAACTATCATGAAGTCCTTTTAAACGCAATTCATCCGAGTATAAAATTTTATGTAGAAAGATGCTTTCACTATTAAATAAATGAAATTAATATGATATAAGCAAATAACTACATTTCCAAGCCACTATGTAGAACCTTCAATACAAAATAGCTTGAAACACCTTAAAATCTTAAAGGTCAAATTTAATATCAATCTGCAATTACCCAAGAAGTAAAACCTAATTTTTATTTTTTAATTAACTCTAAAAGGATAAGAGTCAAAACAATATAAAAAAATTGGCATTAATTTTTGCAGATACTTTTTCGAAACTATTATATATGCAACCTCCATTATTTTATTGCCTTTTATCTTCCAGCGACTCACCCTAACTTCGCTCGAGTTCGTCCCTAGCTTGCTTCCCAATACAAACTTTCATCTCCATTTTCACCCCCTTATGGGATGATTTCCAGGATAAAAATCCTAAGGCCTTCCCAGAGTCTCAAACTACCTTCTAACCAAATTTCATCTAAATCGGTTCAATAGATCCAGAGATTACCCCCTACAATGTCACAAACTCACAAACTTTACCTCTTTATAATATAAGTATAGATATGTAAACTAAGCAAGTCCCAGAGTGTTAATATAAATGTTTAGTAAGTTCTCCCACCTATACGACGATAAAACAGTATGATCCTGAGAAATATCAGTAAAAATACTCTTAATAAGTTTTATACAAAAATTTTATGTTCTTTCATGCAAATTAGTAAAAAGATGTTACTTATTACATATGTATGACATTATGCAAAAACATGATTATATGTGTACTATCACTTATCCTCGCTTGGCTCTTGGCAAGTGTATTTTTTTTAACAGAACCCTAATTCATTTTCCAAAACAAAAGTATCCTAAGTTACTCCTTATAATATGAGCTGTCTGCTAATAAAGGCCCGTCAAAATTAGTCCAGCCATATCGGAGAATAGCCAGAACGAACAAACACAGACAAAAATTTGAAAAATTGTGTTTTTCTTATAAATACTGTGTATAATTTCATTAGCATTTAGTAAAAAGCTGTTATTTTGACATTACAAACAGACACTTCTATTTTATTTATCTGTATATAATACTGGTGTTTTAAGTTGATTCACAATATAGCTTCAAAACAAAAAGTAAGCAAATGGTATAAGCAAATTAATTATAATAAAATAATAATATGCATTAAGTGTAAAGGAAAATAACTGATAATGCAGGATAAATGTTGTATGTAGCTTTTAAAAATATTGTTTTATATTAACATGAAGGAAAATTAACTAACAATGATGAAACCTTTGCAAACTTTTTGCAAAAAAAAACAAAGGTTGTTGTAACAAAATTCTTATTGGAATATAAAAAAAATAGGACTTGTGAATGTCAAACGTTCGAGATAAAGGGCATTTGCGATGTTTTTGTACGATTACATGCAGAATTCCGGTCTCGAAATGTTTCCGGTGCGATGTTTTCCCCCAGCGCAAAAAACTTATAGCATCACAACTATGACTCATGGAGAGTGAAAACTTTTGAAAACACTACGAAACGTTAAGCAGACATGGAAAAACCCAAATAGGTACCTTTATTCTTACCCATTGTTGTGACGTTGTAGTCGGCCTGGGTGAAATGAAGACTGCAAACTTTGGAGTATTTTGTGTAAGGCTTGCCCCGCTTCAAAATTAAATTCCATTTATCTGCCATGATGTGATCACGCGGGAAGCGGTGAAACTTCACGTTCTTCGTCTTGCCGGCAAGCGAGGTGCATTGTGGCACAGTACAATAATAACCCATCTTAGTATCCACTGACCGACCTTTGTTGTGAAATTTCGGCGGTCTCGGTGTACCCGTGTGTTATCATTAAAAAACAGGAAGGACGCAGTGTCCAGTAAAGTGTCAAAACCGATTATTTGTTGCAATCGTTATCACGTTTGTAATAATTAAAATCATCACACCGCAGCCTTGAAATATTTGACATGTATTCACCTTTTTTCCCTTCCCCACTTCTCACTTTTTCAGAAAAATGGCTACTTGCGGTCATAGATAATGGAATAAACAATAACCACAGATTATTTTAAAGAAATGTTAAAACAATGAGTAATTTAATATTGCCATATTGACGGTGAGAGGTTCCTTATTTGCAAGTCGTGATAACATGGACGAGTGCGATAACATCTACTTTAAAAGCATTATAGATAATAAGAATAAGGGTATATAAGAACTGTTACCTTTTCAGACGTAATATTTTTCTTTTGTAGTTTATTTAGTTCAACAATTTTCGAAAATTAACTAAGTGTAGGTACCATGTAATAATAAAACCCAAAAATAGGAAAAAAATTGAATTTCAGGTTTAACCTAGCCCCAAGCACTTCGGATAATATAATATCTATAAAAGGAATTCTTCATAATTTTTCTATATTTTAACTGTTACACAGTTTGTATTTTGTAGCTATTCAAATCAAGTATTCCAATAAAATATTGCAGATAGTTTGCCACACAAAACTCGCGGTTACCGACACGATTTCTTCGAATAATTTTAAATTACTAACAATCTACCATGCACTTTGCAGCCGTAATTTATCTTAAGTTACATAAAATACGAAGTTTTAAGTTACTCGAGTTCACTATAAAAACAATCTTAAAAAAAAAACAAATTCTATATTAACCCTAGCAACACTTGGGACCAAATCCACAGACAATATATTTGTTTTATTTTCATCAATCATGTCGGCTTGGTGTTTATTCACAGTTTTGTTTGTTTTTGTAATATCAATACAAATTCATTAAATAACAAAAGCAGTATAATTTAGTTATGTAATTGACCTAATGAAAGTGGTATAACTTAACAAAATGCCATATTACTGCACTGTACCGCGGTGTACATCGATGGCCGGCAAAGCAAAAAACGTATCGTTCCACCAATTTCCTAGAGATGAAGAATTAGCTAAATTATGGAATAAAATACTTAAACGAGGAAAGCCATACACAAAATATTCCAAAGTTTGCAGTTTACATTTCACAGCGGATGATTATACAATGACGAGCGGACAGAAAAATAAAGGTAAATAAACACTCGTGTTAATTAAGAAGCGGGAAAGCTTGGTGAATTTACCTTTTTTGAGATGCGATTCTTACAGATTTATACAGAATATTTTATTGGTATATTAAGTATATAAAATAAAAATATTTTGTTACTTTTATGATCACTAAACTTATCTCGTAAAATAAAAAAAAATAGACTTCAACTATGTTACATTGCAATTTAATTATATTTAGCTTAGTATGATAAATTTTTACATGATTAATAAAAATATACATAATATTTAGTTAAAATATGGAAAATTATGTTAAATAATCTTCATGCATTCATTCCACTATAGAATATAATATGCACATATCATGACTTAAATAAAAATAAAACTAAAAGAAAGAAACTACTAACAATTTATTATTTAACTGTCTTGTATATATATTTTTCAGGTCAGTGGAGGACATTAAAGAAAGATGCCATACCATCTAGAAACTTACCGACTGACTCACCAGCCCCATACCAAAGGAGAAGCTCAACATGGACACCACCCTCTAATGTGATTGATGCTACAGTAAGTGATTACTATATTATCATTTTTTTAATATCTTTACAAAATGTAATATAAAATTAGATAAATCCTATAAAAAAAGCTTTCCTATTTATAAAACTAGAGACCCTCACTCGCTTTGCTTCGGTTTGTCCCTAGTGAAAAACGAAAACAAATGTATCCCACAGGAATTGTAAATTTTTCTGACATAAGAAGTAACCTATGTATTATTCCAGACTATAATCTATCTCTATGCCAAATTTCATCTAGATCCGTTCAGCTGTTCTGCAGTGAAAGAGTAACATCCATGCATCCTCACAAACTTTCACATTAGTATGGATTCTTGTAATCTTATCACCTCAAGGTAAATTTCTAAGAAGTTAATTAAATTTCTGAGAAATCTATTGTTAACTGACACGCCGGCGTGTCCGGGGTCATGGAGGGATTAAATTACTAATATTTTGTATGTAATGCGACTATGTGAGTGTTGTATTAATTTCTTCATGCTTTTATATAATTTCTTAACATGTTTGAGTAAAATAAAGATGCATTAATATACTATATCCATTTTTTTTTTCAATTTTGAATCTTAAAAAATGCATTTACACTTGTCTAATGTATAAAATTCTTGTTTCACAGTGTTTGTAACAAAACTCCTCCGAAACGGTTTGACCGAATCTTATGAAATTTTGTGTGTGTATTCAGTAGGTCTGAGAATAGGATTTTTACACTCCTAAGTAATAAGGCAAAAAAAAAATTTTTATTTTTTGGACAAAATTTTTTATTTTAATTTTTTTTTATGATTCGGCATTAAAAAATACATACCACCCTAAATTTTCATACCAAATATTTCATGAGATAGATTTCATACGAATTTCAACCCCTATTTTACCCCCTTATGGAATGAATTTTGAAAAATGCTAAAACACGTGTTTATTTAATTGCATTGAATAACATTAATACCAAGTTTTAAGTAATTCTGATCACAAATATTTTTTGGGTTGTATTATAACATGTTTTCCCGTGGGAGAGAGATATAACCCGCGGTAAAAAGTAGCCTATGTCACTCTCTAGCCCTCTAACTATCTCCACACACAAAATCACGCCAAACCGCCAAGCCGTTTCGACGTGAAAGAAAGACAAACAAACGAACACACTTTCATATTTATAATAATAAGTATGGATTATGGACTATTGGATAGTCTATATTCCATACTAACTGTTAAAACGTACCTAGAGACAAACCCGAGCGAAGAGGGGGTGATTCAATAGTTTTGTTTTATAATACATTTTATCCACAGATGCACCAGCAAATGGCCCAAGCAATATATGTTCAAACTATGCTAGCAATGCAAGCTGCGGGGATAACTGCTTTAAATGGAGGTATTATTTTTATTTTTTTTATATGCATCTATAATAAGGATTTCATGAAACAAAACTTATAATAATAATTTAAAAAAAATGATTTTTAAATAAAACTTGCCAAAAATGCACATATGATTATGAAAATTGAAATTAAGAAAAAATAGTTTTAATAAGAGTATTTTAATTAAAACTATCATTTCGGATTTTTTGCGGATTTATTTTGATTTTTGGTTTCCAACGTTTCAAATGCTGTACAGGTCACGAGAGAAATCCGAAAAGATAGTTTTTTTTTTCAGGTAAGTTTTATTTTTTTTATCAGTAATACGAAATGTATTTCCAAAAACAAAAAAAAACTTATCTTCTTCTTCCTTCTTCTTCCTGCACGGCTTTTTCCGCACTTAGGCATTATTGTCCGTTGTGTGTGAGCTGAAAAAAACATAAATGAAAATCCGTAATTTTTACCATTATGATAAGCATGTAAACGCAACCGTTCAAAAGCCATATTATGTGCAAGCGGCTCACTCTCGCTTCGCTCGGATTTACCTCTAGAAAAATAAAAACAAACCTATCTCACGGGAACCGTACATTTTTCCGGCACAAAAAGTAGCCTATGTGTTATTCTAAACTATTATCTATCTCTGTCCCAAATTTCGTCCAGATCCGTTCAGCCGTTCTGACGTGAAAGAGTAACAAACATCCACTCACAAACTTTCACATATAAAATATCAGTATAGATTGTATCCATCACTACATTCTATTAGAAAAGAAATATCAAAAAACCAGCTGACCTGAAATCATATTTGTGTTATTGCTAGGCTTTTATGCTATAATAAGAAAGAAACAAAATAAAGAACTATTTTTCATATATTATCAATTGTTATAGTTATTTTTAATATTTATATTCCATATATTTTACAGAGCAACAACCACCATCACCTACGGAAGAAGTTCAATCGCCATACACAAACAATTTTTCACAACTAGAACACACAAACAATGACGCTCAGACAGAAAACGAACACACAAACACACATTCAGACGATGATAGTGAATATGAAGAAAGTATTAGTATACCCTCATATACAACTCATAATGACACATTCAAATGTTTGGAATGCTCCAAATGTTTTAAAGATCCGGACGTTTTTGTTCTACACAAACGAACACACACGAAAAATAAAAATATTGATGTTGGCGACACTGATGATATGCTAAGAGCTAACCCAATATTAGCGAACCTATTAAGATCTGATCCTCAACCAAAAAATGAAGGGAACGATGTGAAAAATATTAAAAGTATTGAAAATCAAATTATGGCAGCATTGACAGCTAATATGGAGAATTATTTAAGGAATTTATCAACAATTATGACAAATGGCAACACTGTCGCAGATAATGGCATAGACAATGAAATCCAAGATGGCGATTTAAACTGTGATAATCAAGACTTAAACGAATCGACAGACTCAAAATTAGTTATAGATGAAGATATATAGATAGTAAGTATAGTTTTTTTTAATAAAATCTTTTCTTTTTTTGAATAGTAAAAGGTGTTAAATTAAAAAATGGTTTAGAAATATTTTGTAGAGATATTTCAAAGGAAATATCAAAAAAAAATCGGGCTCATGTTTTTTAATAATTAGACTGATTTCTTACTAATTTTTTTTTAGTCTTAGTGTAAAACCGTTTACCCACCTTTAATTTTTAGTATAAGATGTATATTTTTTCTAATAATATTGTCATTATAAACTACCAATCTTACTAAAACCTACCATTTTGGTAGATTAAATATAAAATATAGAGACTGATGTGATGAAGAATGTGACATTACTTTTATATCGAAATGCTGTACTCTTTTAGACTGATTCTATCTTTCTATAAATTTGATTTAATTTTTTCTAATAGATTTAAAACCAATAATTTTTTACATCAATCATTTTAAAGGACTATTTTTAAAGAATAGTAATTAAACAATTTGAAGCTATTTTGTAAAATTAAATCTTATTTCCCTACTTTAAGTAAAAGAAATATAGTCAAAAATGTTTGTTTGATAAGTAATTTACTGTAATGTTTATATTAAAAAATATTAAGACTGTATCTCTCATTGGTTCCCACCGTCTAATCATTTTATTCCTTTTCCAAGGATCTCTAAAATTAAGTATTATACACTAGTAGTAGTAACTTAGTGCCTTAGATTCTGTAGCTATTTGTAATATATGTATAGATACATATATATTTTGTGAACAAATTATATGATATTTCTTCAATTTTGATATTTAACTGGCGGGAAAATTTGTCAATGTTTGGATTTTTTTTTAATTGTGCTATGGATATTATCTGTTTTACTGTTTGATTATTTTTTTTTAATTTTTTCAATCGAATATCACAATTAAAAGAAACTTTTTTTTTAGGAATAAATGTTATTTATGTAAGAGAAAAATAATTTGGTTTTTGTTCACAGCTTATAAATAATCTTTACAATATAGTTTTAGTGACAGTGTGAATGGAACTTGTAGATTTACAATTTTGTTTGTGTTTTTTTTTTAATTTTTTTATTAGATTAATATCTGAAATTATTAATCCGTCCCACTCAAGGCCTTGATAATTATTATTTTTTTTACTTTTCATTTAAATTAAAAATGAACTCAACTAACAAGCATTCTTATATTCTTATTTTGATATACAAGTTATCTATACAGATAAATATAATTGAAGTGTCTGTTTGTAATGTCAAAATAATAGCGTTTTACTAAATGCATAAGAACAATATGGTACATATAAGAAAAACACGATTTTTAACATTTTTGTCTATCTTTCTGTTTGTTCCGGCTAATCTCTAACGGAAAACGTAACAGACAGACAGACAGTTACTTTTCAATTATAATTTTATATGGATATTAGAAAAGTCCAATTACATTACTGATATGCTATAATAAAAATATGATTCATACATTTTTACAAGTACATAATAAATTGTGATTTATTGTTATTTTTTAATCTTAAAAAAAACAAGAAAAAAATACTAATAACTTTGTTAAGATATTTTATTTATTGTGTACAATTATTCAATCTTATTTAAACCGACAAAAAATATTTCCCTAATAAAATACATTTAGATTTTTTTTTAATTATTAATATAAAAATTGTAAATCTACAAGTATGGAAGAATATGTGAGTTTTGATCTCTTTTTTTTTTGGAATATTGTAAAACGTAGTAATAAATTTATAATTGTATCTGTGGTTTTATTTTTAATCCATACTATACATATAATCTCTACATATAATAAAATTCAGAGTCGAATCTATACATTAAATATTTTTTGAAAAATCTTATTGAAATAGTCATTATTATCGATACAGAAGCCGTATCTATGATTTTTAGAAATTTTGTCTGCCTGTCTGGGAACGCATCACGAGAAAATCAACGTCGTCAACAGGTAACATATACCTAGAATACTTTATACTGCGGGCAGCAGGCAAATTATGTCATCTGTGAGAAATCTATACTAAACCTTAAAACGTAACTAGTGACGAACCCGAGCGGGGCGAGGACGAGTGGGTAGTTTTATAATAAACTATAACCAGTTACTTCGACACCGTTTACGCCTTTAGAGTTTGTCCATTTTATTAATAGTTTTTTGACAGTTCACGCCCATGAAGTTTCGCATTGTTTAAGTTAAAATTTCATACAAATAATATTTTACTTCATGGACGGGTACCGCCCCCTTATTGATGTGCCACACATAACGATTACTACGGTTGTGCCACAGATTACAAATAATCGGTAGAAATAAATGCTAGTATGTAAATAAAGGTGTAATATGTTATTTAATAAGGAAGACAACAAAATTTTAAGGTTGAAACCAATAATTAAAATATTAACATTATATAAAGTTTTACTTTCTTCTTTAGCATAAGGCATTCCTTTTATTAACATGAATCGTCAGAATCATCATTTATACTAGATTCGTCTGATGAGGAGTCTTCAGTAATATAAAAAAATATGAAAATAAATATTATATTTAAAAAAAGCTTTTTGGATGTTTTATTGTCAGTCATTTCTCAAGCAAGGAATATATATAATGTAAAACTCATCATATATAGTCTATCTATTCCATACTAAGCGTTCAAAGTTCAGACGTACTTAGGAACGAAGGAAAGGTGTCAGTCACCAAAACAGACAAAAATTCTACAAAAACTATAGATTCAGCTTCTGTATCGATAATAATGACTATTTCAATAAGATTTTCCAAAAAATATATAATGTACAGATTCGACTCAGAATTTTGACATATATCTACGATTTTATTAATGTTAGTTGACACTTGCTAATATTATTATTATTTTAGAAAAGTAGGTTTGGCGGAATGAATTGCATATGTTAAAAAGCGCTACTCACATACCTGCTGCAGCGGCAATCTAGGATGTAAAAGTGGGGATGACCCTTAATTGCCACCTAAATTGTGATGTGAATAGTCAAGCAGAGGCAATTTTCTAGATTGCCCCTGCGGCAGGGCCCAAGAAGCGCGAGACAATCCTTGGTCTCTAGATTGCCCCTGCTGCCCTGCAGAGTTGCCGCGTGTGTAGCTGAAGCGCAATCGGGACATTTTCTCTACCGATCTTTTGACAGTGTAGCCACTTAAGGGTTTCCCCTCAAATTTAGGGGTAAAAAAATTGAACCGGGGTTTTCTTAAATAGCATGACTTAAATATAAATAACGTTTTATAAAGTTTCTTTGAAAGACTTGAAAAAATCATATATCTTTAAATATCATTTGCATTATTTATCCTTTTTTTAACCCCCGACGCAAAAAGAGGGGTGTTATAAGTTTGACGTCGGTCGATGTCTGTCTGTCTGCGTGTGGCATCGTAGCTCTCAAACGGATGGACCGATATCGATGCGGTTTTTTTTATTTGAAAGCCAGTTTTCTTGCGGTGGTTCTTAGCTATGTTCGGTTAATATCAGTCCAGCAGTGTAAGAGTATCACCTCTTTTCCAAAAAGATGAAAGGCATTTTGGCGTATGATTACTCGATTAAGTGCTTCACGCGTGCCAGTGTAATCGTTAAATGATAATTAATTTGCCTAAGAGTTTTTTTTTTAATTTTTGATTAATAATTATTTCTAAGTTTTTTACATTTCTTGTAATCATTTAAAATAAAAAATATTAAAAATAAAAAAAATGTCTTAAATAAAAACCTACATTTTTCAAATTATCAGTTAGGGTGTCCTAGGAATTTTTAGAATTACTCTTAGGGGGATAAAATTTCAAGTGTTGACAACACCGCTTTCTCACAACTCGAAGCCATAAAGAAAAAAAATAGGTCAACCCTTGAGCAACCCCCAACAAACTAGATTAGAATATTTAGTAAATAGTGTAGCTTTACTTCATATTTGGTGGAACCCAGTATATAATAATATATTTTAGGTTGTACCTATTATAACGTGTTTTCCCGTGGGAATGAGATTATCTCCCGCGGTAAAAAGTAGCCTATGTCACTCTCCAGCCCTCCAACTATATCCGTTTCGACGTGAAAGAAGGATAAACAAACAAACAAACAAACAAACTTTCACATTTATAATATTAGTATGGATATATATAATTCTGCATATAGCCAGCTCGTTTTTCGCACGTGCAATCGGCATTGTTAATCTGACGCATACTTTTACCTACAAATAATAAATGTAGACACGTCTGTTTTATATACCTACGTATGTTTAGTTACATTATACATATTTTTTCTTCTACGCAAATAAACAGCATTATGTAACACCAATTTTTATCTAACAGGTGGAAAATATTTAAAAAATAAGACCAGTATTGAGCTTCAATTTGGTAATTTTTAAACAATTATTCAATGTATATAATACATGTTTTTTTTATTGTCGCTCGACAAGATGACTCCATGACGCCTGATGGTAAGCGACAGTGGAATTCAGAATGAGATCCATCGGTTCCGGGACTTGATCTCGATTCCGATCAATCTCACCTCGTCGGCCTGCAAATGTGCTTTTTCACGCTCCGTTTGAAAGATGTGAAGTGTGCATTGGCAAATAAGTCCATAATCTAGTCTTTCTAGTTCATTCTCATCAAGGCCAAAGTCTAGATCTAGACGTATAGCACATAAGCCACGCCCTACAATGCCTAAGTCACGCCCACACTTAATTGAAAGATACTATCTACTAGAAATCTCCACTAATATTATAAAGAGGTAAAGTGTGTAAGTTTGTATGTAGGGAGTAATATCTGAAAATATTGATTCTGATAATTCTTTCACTAATAGGTAACGGGATGGCCAATAAAACTTCGTTATTCTCGTAATTTATGTATCTATATTAATATTATAAAGAGGTAAAGTTTGTGAGTTTGTGACGTTGTAGGGGGTAATCTCTGGATCTACTGAACCGATTTAGATGAAATTTGGCAAGATAGTTTAAGACCCTGGCAAGGACATAGGATACTTTTATCCCGGAAATAATTCATTAAGTGGTTGA